CTCGAGCTTTTGTGTCGTGCTTTTAACATGGATTTGTATAAATTTTTCTGTCAACAAAACGGCGTAGGAACACCAACTGCTTCTAGTGCCGGTTTAGCCTTTGAAGATCATCGATGTGCAGGGCTAATCGGCAATCAACGTTGTATTTTATCAATATGCTACGTATTGTTGAAATAACACGATTAAATCGTGAAGAATTGAAATCCATGACTTACTGCTGACTTTGTTTCGTAAACCTGGAAGCAATGAAAATTCGAATCAGTAAAAATGATCTAACAAAAGGTATAGTATTGTGTGACAAATCTGTTCAGAAGATGATAAATGTTTATTTTTGCACTCGACCTTCTTTCGTTTAGTTGACAATATCCAAGTATACTATGAGTATACACTCCTTGCACTTGTGCAAAGGCTTAATTATATACGATAATACAAAATGCCGTTCGTGTCTTTATACCATATTTATGAAGAACAAAGACGTTCATACATCTTTTTTTTTTTTTTTTTTTTAATTCATTTAAATGCAGCATGACGAAATTAAATTAACATCTCAATTAAAGGACATCTTTGGGGGGCCTGTGACTTTAATGTCGAGACTCGGTAGTTGTATCAAGTTGCTATTCATCTCAAGAAACTATTAAAATTCTCATTTACTTTAATCAAAAGGGGAAAGCTCGGTTCTTTTTACTTTTTTTACAAACTGTTTACGCTCTAATTATAAGCACGAGGAATTAGACGACAAAAATGTTCTTTACGATATTTTATCCCTCGTAAATCGATTTGTGCAGGTATAGATATAGACTTCATCGAGTTATTGGATGGTAACGTCCATCGGCGGTTCATTAACCAGGTTATTTACCCTTTTTAATTTTCTCCCGACGAGATCCTCTTCGCGATAAATTGTCCATCGAATGAGTGCGATTTCAAAAACGCCCATCACGTGCAAACGGCAAAAACGATCGTCTGATCCTTGAAATACAAAATAAGTTAATAAACGAGATTAGAAAGTACCAAACGCAGCCGAGTGTTTCGATCGCGCGAGAAAACACAATTATGTTGCACTAATTAGAGTGCAAACGCGATTTCTTTCTTATCATATATATATATAGCTTCTGATTTCACGTTATTCGATGGCTGAAGTAACTTTTCCAAATGCCTTTACGTAAGCACCGTGCACCGGCCTATGCGTCGTTTTCGCAAAGCATACATCACTCGGACTAGCTTGGTTTCTGTGTATGCAATGAGAAATTTTCCATTTGTCCATTAATTGCTTCATGCTGTAAGCCACAATGTTCTACACGTCAATAATGAGTGTATATTATATAGTCGCCGAGGTTGTAGTGGGAGTGGCCTTTTTGTGTAATTTCACTCTGCGTATGGATATAAGGCCTGTCTTCAAGCGTTTATTATATACGTTTTTATTTATGATAAGATACAAACTTTTTTTTTTGACAGACGTTTCATTGTGTATGACAATACACTATATTCATAATTTCATAGTATCACACCAAATTTTTTTCTTTCTGTTGACATTTAAAAATTTTGAGTAAATGTCAGGTCTGACCACTTCAATGTCTCTACGTTTGTCTTACCCTACTCGTCTGTTTCTACTTAATGCCGCGGCCCATGACTTCTTTGGCGAGAATTCAAATGTAGTACGAATTGATGGATCAATAGTACATCAATATTAGGTTGAAAATAATATTAGAATGTAACGAGAGTTCTTTTGCGTTGCAAAAAAATATTTTGACATTAAATAATTTCATCTTCATCATTCAGTTCACAAGCATTAGCGCACAACAACGTTATTTTGTTCGGGTCAAAAATGACGTAACATCTGTTTTCGTTTCTACATGCATGTAATATATTGTATGGTGATGAAATAATAAAACGAAAATTTCATTTTATAACCACGTTGAAAAAAAAAAAAAAAAAAAAAAAACTGATCTAATCGATCTTTAGAAAATCGTCGGGTTAACGACCCAAAAAAAATTAAAGCGTAATGAAATGAGCATAGTGCTCAGTACCAATTGCACAGGAGTGAGTATGTATACTATGTGGGGGAAAGGACGAAATCCAATAACACCGAAAATCATCGAAGCCCAAAAATAAAAGGGGTAAACAACAATCGAATCGCAAACAGCCGATCACAAAGAACAGTCGAATGAGAGGACCATTCAATAATGTGTAGTACCCCCAGTCACGCGATATCAGTATCATCGTCGACCCGTTTTAATGACATACTCGCGCTTTGGCTCTCCACCCCAAGTACAAACATAAATACCACTTACACACATACACTACAACCCAAAGAGAAAAAAAGGAGCTCACGGTTCGACGACCAAAGAGTAAATTAACTATCGCTTCCTCGCCATCCCGGAAATAATTCCCTTCGCAACATCGCTACACCAATAACAAACAGCATTGCCTTTAGCTGGCAGATTGCTCATTTCATCCAACCGTGCTTATATATACATGCACCTCCCTGTATACATACGTATATACGCACGGGTAGCCGCGGACGAGCGGCGCATTATTATTTTCACCGGATTCAAAATCGCAACTCCGTTTTAAAACGCGCCGCCTCGGCTTTCTCTTTGCCTTCGCTGTGCTGCACGTATACGTATGTACGTATATGTGTATATACAGTATATTTAATGCAACGTGTGTATACGTATACAAAGTGCCGGGCTTTTCGAGCGGAGCGTAAATACTCCGAGTACCTATGGGTATATGTATATACATATATGCACTTTAGCCGATGAAAGTTTGTTAAAGCGTAGACGCGGTGAAAGAAGGATCTTCTTCTCTGGAGCTCATTGCGACGACTACGTCGTACCCCCGGTTACTTTTCTGCCAATGTCTCGTTAATCTGCGCGGAGCAGGTGTACAGCTAAGTATATGTATATGCAAAACAGGTTCGCGAGGCAAACGTTAATACCTCCCGACTCTCGACGAGTGACTCTGGAATCTGTTTCGCTTCCAGTCACATCTCGCACCTGCTGTTACTTTTTAGCGGTGGACGGTATACCCGATTCCGATGCATATTTATAGACGCGGCTGGTGAAATCAATCTTCTGTTCCATACGCGGCATTACACCCCGTGAGATCGATCGATCGGTGAAAGGTAGCTCGCCTTCCTGGGCAACTTTTACTTTTACAAATGTACATGCGAGTGCGGCAGATGCCGGTCCGTCTAGTATATACTTTTGATGGATAATCAAAGTATACAAAGTTTTGTGGAACGCTTCGTTTGATCGAGCTTGCGAGCCGTGTCTCGGAACGTTGTGGTCAAAGAGCCTTTGGGTGCCATTTTTTTCTATTCCCTTTGGACGGAAGTCAGCACCGCTTTGGGTGATGCTGATTGGTAATCTTACGTCCGATGCATTTTAACGAGTGGAAAACTCGGGTTGGATCTCAGTGTCCGAGAAAGTTTTTTCACTGTTCCAAAGATATTGTTTCAATGGCCCGTAAAAAAACGGACGCGAGAGCGCAAGAGTAGTAATGAGTACTTTGAGATTTTAACTATCAGGTGCAGATTTCCCTTCGTGGATCCGGTATCAAATGCAAGACCAAACAGCGCTGCAAGAGCCAATATTTTTCGTACATCACTAAAATAATGTGAAAAGATGGCTAGAACAAAAAATAAGCCATGAAATTTATGCAAAACAGTACGTCTTATGCATGCGAGGCACGTCCGGAAAGTTTTATGTAAATAACAGGATTTAATTTGGATATTTTTCTTTTGGTTTCTATATCCGACTGAGTTTCAATATTAATATGCTAACTTTTAGTTTAAAGTAACAAACTTACGTGCTACAAAACGCTTTTTTAGCCATTTTGAAATGTTTTTCGTTAGTAAGTGTATGGCAAAAACCCCATTAGATGAAAATTGATAAATACAAAAAAGTATATTTTTAGAAGATCTACAACTTTTCTATTAAACGTTTTTCTCCAAAAATACGATGTACAAGTTGTAACACATTTCTTTGCCGTTTTTTAACCACTTTTGCCGATTAAATCGTTTAGAAGGCACTTTCGAGATAAAATTTACTAAACGAAAAAAATTTTGTTTTAATGAGCTCTACAAGATTTTTACTTAACACTTTGTTGTATAGGATTTTTATTTATTTTTGTTATAGGCAATATAACGTTTTTTTCGCTGTTTTCAAAATCTTGGCTTTTGTTGTTAATAACATCTACAACTCTACGTTTTAACGCGGACGTGTAAAATTTATATGAAAAAATTATTGCAAAAGAACTGGTTTTTTGTCCAAACTGTTTGCATCATAATAATAGGTACTTAATTTAGTCGAAAAACTCCATTACGTATACATACACCACGAGACATACTCAGCTCACCTTCACATTAGATTTAAAATTTGTTTCACATATCGCAATGAATTCGAGCATCCACTCGATAATCATTTCAAAAGATAAAATAAAACATCCAGTTAAAGTTACAAAAAGGTCCAAACGCAGTTCTTTCCAGTATAGACCTTTGCGTCGCCCCATTTCTTACCACATTACATTCACCAATCAGTCAAAGCTAAAGCACTTGTTTTAGGTACAAAAAAGCCTCGTACGCAACAAAAATAAATGTCACTCCCGGCAAAGGACTGGTTTGAACATAAAACAACTTTGAAAACATTGCGAAAGAACTTGTTACAAAATCCCGTATACACCATTTCATAATTACCACTTGACTGGCAACGTCGCGTTACGTGTCCGTGCGCAGTAAATGCCAAAAACGAAATTTTCGGCCAATCGCATAATTATACATTCCGTTCGCTACCGCACAGCCCACGTCATACATATGTATACAACGAACCCCTGTACTTACTCCGACGAGTGCGGCTTCGGGGTGCGCAAGCCCACGAGCAACCAATGACGCCGGAAGACACGCCGATCTAAACACTCGCCCCTACAAAAGGGCGGGAGGTTCGAACCGACCCACAAACCTGATGTAGACGCCAAACAACAACGACGTAAGGGACACTTACCCCGCGATGAGAAGAGCTTGAGGGGGGCTAAAGGTGGCTGGACCGAGTCCTATCTCGAGGGACATGGACCGCGGCTGACCATCGCTTGCGCTCCTCCGGTGAGTCAACGTCGCAGAGGTCCGATTGTTAGCAGAGGTTGACCATCGGTGCCACACGAACAAAAGGACGATGGTAAATTCAACAAAAAAAAGGTGCACACAACCCACGGAGTATCCCTTTTGATTGTAACGCGAGCACACGCGATCTTTAGGAGGAACGTAAGTATATACGCATACACACTATAGTGACTCGTCTCGCGCGCCGCGATACACACGAACGACTGAAAGCGGAATTCCAGCGCGAGGAATGCGCCCGGTACCACCACTATACTCTCTTGCTCCGCGCGTACAGATCGCGAAGCGCTCCTCCGTGTATGTATATATATATTGGTGCTGTACACCTTCTCCGTGTATATATTTATACCGTGCCCACTCGGTCGCGAGCAAAGTAAGTATGTTCTGCCAAGTGCGCGTGTAAAGGTGCGCTCGGTGATACAGGCCGTCTCTCTCGCGCCTCCTCCCATGCGCGGTCCACGGCGATGGGATGTCTTGGCTTCCCCTCCTGGTTTCCGAGCGACTCGGGTGTTTGGGCCACAGCCTATACACCGCGAGCTGGTCTCTTTACTCCGAGTTGGAAGAGGAGCTCGACTCGCTGGGATACTGAGCCAGAGTCTTTGGTACTTCGTGGGCATGGAGGATCCGATCGAAATGATCGGCGTACCGTTATCTATCCATGACCATATCCGACGTAGCTCCAACACATATAGGATGAGACCCTACGCGCTGTTGCGGCTTGTAACCGATACGTTTCATGCGCTGTATGGTTGCTTGAAACAATTTTCTTTCTGCGGTCACGTTTTTCGGTGATTCAACAAGTTTTGTGATTTTTCAAATATATATAAGAGTAATTGATTAGGCGTAAAGAGGAGAAATTGGAGGTGCAGGTACGCGTCTATTTTGTGGAAAACGCTTGATATCCCTTTTAGTGTTTCAGTCCCATCATAAGGATAATAAAGATTTTTTTCTTTTTTGCATTCAGAAGTTAATCGAACATTGTGAAATCTCCAAAATGTTCAAGTTGTTCTTTAAATAGCTTACAATAAAATCAGAGGATCTGTATTTCATGTCTTGGATAGTAATTATTAGAACCGCTATGGTTTCAAAACATTGTCTTCGTCATATGTATGTACAAAGTTTTTACATTTGGTAAAACATATTTTATTCTTAAATTTAACGTATTCACAAGAAAATATGTACTCTTGACTGTACTTCTAAACCCAAGAAAGATTGTCTACTAAAATTGTGTAACCCTCCCAAGACTCCCAAGAGGGAATAATTTCATTCGATTAACTGGCAACAACTATTTTAAACAATGCGTTAAAAATTAAAGTATAATAAACTATTAAACTTAAAGTTTTTACTAAAAATAATACATTACTTGGCTGGTATAAAATTTACTGGCTTAAATGTGGTATAATTGAAGTGTCAACGATTGGTAAAAGTAGTGTCAACAACGAAAGTTATGCGAGTCGCAATGTATAACGTAATCAGCACTTCTAAAAAATCAAATTAAATCAAGCAAACTAGTAAAAATGCTTAGTTTTTAACTTGCCAAGCCTTCTTTATTACCCTGCGAGATTTCGTGTAAAATAGTCCGAATTCAGTGGTGGAGACCCGTGAAACACACTGGGCCAGTTAAGCAGCTTAGTTATATCAGCTGCAACGTACAAAATACACACCACCCTCATATAATATGTGTACGGTGATATGTACATAATATTACCTATATATCGTACATCGTAATACCGTACATGCAATTTCATGCATTGGAGTAAAGTGCACAGCATATTACAAGGCGCATGATTGCGTTGCACTGCTCCTCTAATCTCTAATAATCCATTTGTAAATGTACATCTGCCCTCGGCACGAATCAGTTAGACAATTGTTTTTCACCGATATATACTCCTTGTTTCCATGCATATTTTTAAATGACACTGGCTTAAGGCCTTGGCTGGTGTATATACTTGGCTCGAAAATTAGCTTATACGTAGCAGTTGAAACAAACCATGTGCTTCCTGTATTTTTTTGTGCCGACTGTGCTTTTTATGCGAGTTCACGGAATGCAAGGCAAGGCTTGCGAAAGCTCTTTTTAAACAAGGAAATTGCTTAGTCACAAAAGCTTGCGTATATGGGTGTTATTGCTCGCGTGTGTATATACCTACGTACTTTCGGTGACAAAAGACGGAAGTGGCGGAACAGCCATTTTCTCGTTAGCTGTAATGATTACAAGGACGAATCGCTGGACTAGATGTTCAGTGTTTTCACACTTGGCTGCAACGAAGCTTCATACTTATTTGCTCCTCTCCCAAGGCTTATTAGAGAAAATTGTTATTTTTTCACTTTTACTGAAATAAAAAAGTATGATGAAGTATATAGTAGTATGGTCGGAAAAAAAAAAATTTATTTTCATTACAGATCCTACAGATATTGATGTCTATTGATATCAATATATGCATATTTGTTTCAAAATAACATTTTATTCAAAGGCTTTTTCGATGCTAATTATGAATGTGCCCTTGGAAACCATAATAGTTGATGTGTTATAACTGACAAAAAATACCTGCAGCCTTGTTAGCCATTTCTTGTTATAAGATTACGCGTAGAAAAAATTTTTTGGTAAATGCAATTAAGTAGAGATACATCCACTTTTAAACTACTATTATTCCCTAAGGGCGCGAGGATTCATCCCTGCAGGCCGTCACTTTACACACCCCTCGCCTTGGTGACGGTAAAAGTTCAAAGGTGAAAAAGTCCATGGTAGGAAAATTTTTATTTACTCAGCGGTTTCAGCAACTGACTGGAGGCACGTTTGGCAGACTCGCCCATTGTCCACCAGTTCCCACGGGGAGCTACAACAGGAGACTGGTCGTTGAAAAATTTAATCATGCTGTGTAGCTGATGTGTAAACCTAAGGTGCAAAATATCAATTGAACGCATGTAACCTTTATTTTTAAAAAAATCTCCATGCGTCATTCAGAAATTTGTTATGATCAACGAGATTCACAAGTCAAACGGCGTCCTCGACAAAAAGATGCTGCTGGATTAAAAACATCTATGTGAAAATTAAAATTAAAGATTTTAAGAGAACATTCATGTATTCAAACGTATAGAATGATACATTTTTATTTTTTTTTATTTTCAAATGCATCAGCACCGAACATTATTACACATGATAACGGGCACGAAGCAAGTGAACCATAAATTTAGCGCAAATGCGTTCCTGTATCGATCGCTCGAAAAACTGCCTTTCCAGCCTCGGAAAACCGTGCCCAGGTCACACACACACACACACAACTATTTACTTTCAAAGTGCCGAACCCGAAATTTCCTCACCCGGTTTAGTTTCCAATGGGATTGTCAAAAGAAATTTCAGTCACGCGTACACACGGCCAGCTCTCCTTTTTCGGCTCGCGCGCTCGATTGCGTGCAAACACCGATCCACATACACGCATATCGATATATACCTATACCGATATATACATATATGAGCAAACACTACGCGACGTGCTCTGAGAATCAATCGAAATCGCATAAATAGCCACAACAGCAAAACGTCAAATGTATAATACACATACACAAATAAACGCTGTCGATTTATCATCGCGCACAGGAAATATAAGTATACGAGAGCGCGTTGCCGATGCTGCGCATATTGGGTGCATTGTATTTGTTCAGAAATTCACTTTGAGGAGCACATGCATTGTATTTATATTGATGCTACGTCTCATAAATAATATACGCGTATTGTAGCGAGGGGCAATAATGGAGTGCATGCGTCAGAATTTTCATTTATTTATTTTTTGCTTGTACCAAATGCCATCCGTCATCAGCTGTGCAAATTCGTTTGACTGACGTTCCAAGGGTCGGGTAGCTCAAGCTTATTTCAATTCAATCGAAGATTTAATTCGTGATTGAAAAAATTTTTCCACCGACTCCTCGATCGTTTTACTGTGTTTCGCCAATTAAAACTTGTCAATCATACGTTTCGATGTTGCGAAATTCCTTCGAGTAAAAGTTTCAAATTGTTCCCTCCTTGCTCTTTTTATTCGGGCCTTCGCGAAACTTTTCTCATTTTAAAAATTAATTCTTGGACTTTTGATCAAAGTTGTCCAATCCAAGATTCACTGTTACTGTGTTTTTGTGACTAATCAAAGAAATTGTACATCATATCGTCAATTTACATTTTTCATGTCGCGTTTTGTCTATGGATCAGGGATGAATCAATGAAATGATGGTCCTGCTTTGATTTTGTAAAAACAATGGATGATTGTAGCAAGTATTTGTTTTTTTAATTGTTATTATGTTTATCATGTTTTACTTAAATGAAACATTTTTAAAGAAGAAATAGACATTTAAAATGAAGTAAAATCAAAAAGTACACCAGTAGAAATTTATTAAATATTTCTATCATATTTTACTATCAAATTAGTAAGTAATAACCCTAATATCGCATTTTTACAAAATACGATTTTTTCAAATTTCGAGTTCGATATCTCGAAAAGGAGGTAAGAAGGAATTTTTTAATTTTTTTTCCTGTATTCCTGGGATCAAAATATACAAGAAACCACACTCAGATCACGGCACCACGGAAATCGGAATCTCCCCAAAAGTTTAAATTTTCGCGCCCACTTCAAGTCCCCCCTTTGGCAACGTACGCATGCAGACAAAATTAAATAAATGTGGCAACATTGACACTTTCCCCCCCCCCTTGCGCCGCTTCCCTGCACTGCAGTCTGCTCTGTTTTCGTTACTTCTGCTTTCTTTCGATCACACGACTCCGCCGCGTGAGGAAGGTCATGCCGCATTCCCGCGTCTGCTGCAGCGTGCATTCACCACGAGGACGAAAGAGGTTAGCTTGTCCACTTGCTACACGCTTAAAATTATTTGTAAGTCTTTTTCGTGAGTAAAACAACTAATTTTATCCACAGCAACATACCGTGGTTGGATCCTCAAGAATGGAAGAGCCGAAGGAAGAGTCCGCGGCGTTCGTGGGCCACGTGGCGAAGCAACAGCTTTCGGCCGACGAGGTAGCTCGCATGCGGGCCCAGGACACGCGGCTCATTTCGGAATTCCGAGCGATGCAGCTCGAGAAAAACGCACAGAAGCACTGGGACTTGTTCTACAAGCGCAACGAGGTCAGGTTCTTCAAGGACAGGCATTGGACCACCAGGGAGTTCGAGGAGCTCTTGAGGTCGGGTGACGATTCGAAAAAGCCACGCCGTTTGCTAGAGGTTGGTTGTGGCGTTGGAAATTTGATGTACCCGTTGCTAGAGGACGACGCTGCTTTTGAACAAATCTACGCCTGTGACCTCTCACCCAGGGCCATCGAGTTTGTCAAGGTATATATTTGGTAACTGTTAAACTTCGATCACTAAAATGCCAATTGTTGATTCTTTAAACTCATGTAAAGGATGTTTTTTTTTGTCCAGAGTAACAAATTGTACGATCCAAACAAGGTGAAGGCTTTCCAGTGCGATGTGACCGATGAAAATTGCTTTAGAGATGTAGATTGCCTCGTGGATGTTACTACTTTGGTGTTTGTGTTATCTACCATACACCCAAAGAAGTTTCATAAGTAAGTATAGGATTCTAATAGCATCTAAGTCGTGTGTGTCTGTATGCCTATACTAATTCTGAGTTTTATTTGCAGGGTTATTAGTAATATTTGGCAAGTTACTAGTATGAACGGAATAGTTCTATTTCGCGATTATGGAAGGTATGACATGGCTCAGTTGAGATTTAAGCCTGGACACAAAATTTCTGAAAATTTCTACATGCGTCAAGATGGCACAAGGTGAGACAATAGATAAATCATTTTAACCATGTTATGTTGCTTAACATCTTGCTTTTGCATTATTATAAGTTTAACGAAAGTGTCATGTTAATTTTTAGAAGCTACTACTTTACTACAGAAGAGATACGAAGTTTATTTGAATCAATTGGCTTTCGTACTGTTGATTGTTCCTACATCCAAAGACGTACTGTGAATTTAAAAGAAGGAATTGATGTACCTAGAATTTTTGTACAAGCTAAGTTCACCAAAACTTGATAAGTGCGGTAAGTCTTCACATTTTCAACACTTTCACTAATCTTTCATGGCCTTATTGCAAGTGATGAGCCCATAGTTCAACTGTAATTTTTTTGATGACATACTTTTAATGTCTTTCGCTCCTATCTGAATAAAAATTAAAAAAAAATCTTAATTTTAATCTGAAGTAGACTGTCATTTATACTTTGTAATATATTTCAGGGTTCCTGTAAACAGCCTGAGCAGAAAAATTTTAAACACCATTGATGTAACCCATAGGAGTGAATCGTAAAAATCTGTAAGTGTTACTTGAACAACAAAATTCATTCTAATTATCTGTAGTTACCCGCCATTTTATACAACTCAATGTTTCAATGATGATTTCATAGTTCAACTGACAATAAATTGATGACATACTAAATATGTCTTTCGCTCCTAGCTGAACGACCATTAAAATTCAGAATTTACTCCTCCAAAATTGATACATGGTTAATGAATGTTCATTATTTCAGGAACCTTATGTGAGAGTACACGATTGAATACAGCAATTCATATTCTTATCAGTGGATCCGTTGTATTTGGTTAGTATTATATTTTTTTGCATTTGTACATAAGAAATTTGTTCGTGATGATTTCATAGTTCAACTGAAATGAAATTGATGACATAGCATATTATGTCTTTCGCTCCTATCTGATTTCTTAATAACATGTTAGATTACCTGTTGAAAAAGTTTCAGTTTATTTCACGATCATATTTATTATTTCAGAAGCGGCATAAAAGATTGCTCTTGGTGGCTTTTGTAGTGCAGCGATACAAAGACTCAATGTGAGTTGAAATTTTTTACTTATTTTTACTTTCATTAAGTACCAAATGATGAGGTCTGTGTTTGATAATTGTCAATGATGCACACAATATTTCGTCACTACCACTGAACAAAAAAAAAATTCGTGAATTATATTAAACGAAATATTAGTCAAGCAAGTAACATTTGTACGTTTTTTTTTTTTTAGTATCATTCCAATGCTTTCTAAGTACAAGGTGTGACGAAACCCCTCAAAACTCAACAAAATTTTGGAAATCAGCCATGGTAAGCATTCCAAGTATATGTAAAAAAACAACAATTTTTTTAACGGTATGATGATTTAATGAAAACCATATAATCTTTCATGAATGACACAATATTAGCTCTATCTGACTCATAAAAGATTATCAATCAAATCTTGCTTCACTTCAACTTCAAAAAAAAAAACCTTGATCTCTTTTTTTTTCAGGATGCAGATCATGTTGGAAATTGATTCACGTATCCAGAGCAACAAGAAAAAATTATCAGTTCATGTTTTTGTAAAACAATATGAATTAATAAAAACTATTTTTACTTACAAAAACCATCTTACAATTATTTCTTACCCCCAATAACCCTGATCCTAGCTCATTCATTCTTTATATAAATGTAGTAACAAGCAATTACACTTCAAGATGAAAGTAAAAGAGAACAAATATTTAAAAAAAAAAAAAACGGTACTCATGGTAATCAAAATTTCTCCCTTTTGCATGTTTCACTCGATCTTTGAACAACATTCAATAGTAATTACTTTGGTTATCGCCATTGCTTTGGTTGAATTTTTCAATCAAAGTGAAATCTCCGCAATATAGTACCATCCCTTCCTCAATGGTATCGGATCTTCTCCATGTGTACTACGTGTGATTCTCATTCAAAACCGACTCAAGTACTTATTATTACTCCCAAATGTTCGCCGTTATTGGAAATGCCCTTGCCAATTTTCAGTGGAATACAGATTCGTTAACAATTCATGGAGTCATTAAATACTTTTATTTATTATTCAAGGGTGGAATGACTTAATTTAATGTTTCGAGTATAAACTTATCGAAGTCACTGTTTGCTCAGTATGTGTATGCATACGATGTGCCCTATTCTTCTAAAGTAGTATACAAAATCACTGTAATGAAAAAACCGATTCTATATCAATTTTCTCGAGAATATTGTGATAATGATTGTATGAAAAAAAAGTAAATAACTTTACTAGAGTTTCAAGTACGAACTTGAGCACCCGATGGGCGTGGTTCTTGTAGGTTTGTGCCACAGTTGCATTGGCTTTTTTGGAACGTAAATATGTTTAGTATAAACAGTGCACGTATTGAGTGAAATTTTTAAATGATCTTGTTTGTTTTGAAAACTGAAAACGAAATCAAAAAGAAAACTCAAAATATCAATTGTATGAGGAATTATTCTCTTGTTTATCATTTCTTCGATTGGTAAGATTTTAATTAATTTTTTTTTTTCTGGGGGAGAAACGATATTTGAGTGATAGATGTAACCCACAGCGTAGTTGGTGAGAAAGATTACGAAAAAAGAAAAAAAAATTCAAGGACATGATTTTTTGTGCAATAATTAAAAAAATAGTTTTAGATTCCTATTAGATTCCATCGTTAAAAAAACTACTCTTTTTCTGGGCGTAAAGTAATTAAATAAACTGTTTGTTCACTCAAAATCCGTGGAGTATTATTTGTTTTTATATTAATTGTAATTTTAGCTCAAAGGTAAACAGGAAACAACCAGAGCGAGTAAAATTTCTTACGCGTGTATAGCATTTACAACGCGAGTTAAAGTGCTATATATATATTACGCAAGTTCACTCACTGCATGCTGCAAATTATTCATCAGAATTTAAACAAAAAAAATTACTGTTGGAACAAAAACCTACAAAAAATTTTAAACGTTTTCAAATATGCTGTGCTAAATTGTAACTAAAAATTTCTTTTAAAATAAACGAAATAAATTATTGGCGAATTAAAACTGTAAGGTTGTTGTATGAAAATGAAGCTCAAAGTTAAATTTGAGCACAATCGGGTTTGTAGTCCCTAAGTTTTAACACATATATTGTTCAGCTATTATTCAAAGACAAAACCACCAACCTTGAAAAATATTACTTTTTTTCACTAAATTTTAGTCTTTCATGCAGTACAGATTATCTGTAATGCAAATAGACGTGCCAACAGCGAAAAAATCGATTTCTGTACGCGAATAAAATAAATTTCAACTTTACAATAATGTGTTAAATATAGAAGTAATGTAGCTCATTAAAATAAAACTTTTTTGTGCAGTAAGTTTTTCTCTATAGTGCCATCTTAATGCTGTAAATGGTAAAAATCGTTTCAAAACGGCTTAAAACTCGTTTTGCATGATCTAACTATTTTACATTAAATTTACAGGTACAATTTTCAATACTCAAGTTGTAGATCTTACTTTTTTGTTCTGATCGTTTTCGTTAGTATTGCTATCCTATCATTTAAAATTGTACATGTAACTGTTGCACTTAAAATTATTTCATGGGTAAAACTTTTATCATCAATATATATAATTTGTTCGTGAT